CTCGAGTGTGCGCGTGTGTCACAGGGGGGGGCTGGGGGGGGTTGCTGTTTAGTCCCAGAAAAATTCCCTCCTAACGGCACATCCTGCTCCCTAAAACAACTTTTGAAACACTTTTTCCTGCTTTAAAAGGGCACGTATCAGAACCGACCGTCGTCACTTTGCCAATCCGATTTTGTTGGGGGGGGGGCGACTTCGAGTCGCAGTCCCCGTCAACGTTTGCAGATGAGCATTTCCACTGAGCAGGTATGACTGTGGATATTTCAGAACACTCTGACGCAACATCCTTTTTAGCGGGGGGCGGGGTCTTACATTGTGTGTGTGTGTGTGTGTATGTGGAGGGGATGGGGGGGGGGGTTTACTCACGCTCCGTGCAGTATTGTCCCTTCCACCCGGCGTCGCACACGATCTCCCCGCGCTCTCCGCACGCAAAGTGTCCGAAGGCGTCGTCCCGGGGCCGGCAGAAGACCGAGCAGCCGTCGCCGTAGTAGTGCTCGTCGCACACGAAGCGGTACGCGTACTTGAGCTCCGTGTGGCCCGCCGTGTGGAGGTCCTGCGACCAGTCCTCGCCCACCGTCAAGTGGCGCTGGGTGCTCATGGTGCTGATCACTCGCTCCGGGTTGTCTGGGGGGAAGGAAGCGGGAGGTGGGGGAAGTTGCCGAGCTTTGCTCATTGTCAAATACCATTGCTGCCATGTGGGCTCCCTCTAGTGGTGTGTCAAAGAATCACCGTCTAACGCATGCGGGGTTTTTTTTTCTTCTTTTTAAATATATTCTGGCAGTATTTTCATTTTTTCTTGGAGTCAAATGGAAATAAAAAGAAAGCGTCACGATCACATTGATGTGGGGACATTGAGGGTGCGGGGGGGGGGGCATCTTACCTGTGGACAAGTCGTCTTTAGAGTCAGTGTGCAGTGCCTCAATGATGAGCGAGAAGGTCCCCTGAGGAGACAAACGGCTTGGTGAGGCAGGTGGAATCACCCCCCCCCCTACCCACCCAGCGGTGTCATACATCAAGCCCTGGAGGGGCAACGTGAAAACAACAGCAGCAGATCGTTCGCAGAGGACCCGTATGACTACTTGATGAATGGATGAGAAAAAGGGATCGTTTCTGGATATTTGGAGCATGTTTTGGGGGGGGGGGAATTTTCAATGGTTTGCGGAACAGAAAAGGAGACCAAGTATGAGAAAATAGAGAGAAGGAAAAGGAAGCGAGACAAAGGAGACAGGAGAGAACAAAAAACATCGAAGACACAATCAATCGATCAGTTGTGCTGGAGGGAAAAGTGTTGTTTCCGATTGTACCTGAAGGCAACACCAGACGACGAGCCGGATAGAGACGGGACAGGTGCCCCCTACGCACACCCCGCGCGATGACGTCACCCCACACACCTAAGCCCCCCCCCCTCCCCAGTCCCCTTGGCGCTTACCGGCCAAGTGAAGCCGAAGTTGATCCTGACCGGGTTGCTGAAGGAGCTCTCCGGGATGGCGTCGGGCACCTGGAAGGAGTTGGCGCCCAACACGGGCGTGACGGCGCCGCCGTACGTGCACGGCGGCTCGGGCGACACGTTGGGCTGGTAGTGCTTCAGGCACACCCGGAAGAAGGTCTGGCAGGCGCACTGCCCCGACGACGACGACGATGCGGGGGAGCCGCCGTTGCCGCCCCTCCGGCCGCAGCAGTTTCGGTTGCCCTGCGCGCCCTTCTTGTTGAGGAACTCCTGCAGGCGCAGCTCGAACACGCCCGAGCACAAGCCCTGTTCGGGCGCGAGGAGCGGGAAAGAAGCGAAGTGACTTTTTTGGTTGTTTGGTTGGGGGGGGGGGGGTCGGGGGGGGGTGCAAATCCGAGCGTGACTTACCTGACACAGCAACGCGGCCAGCACCGCAGCGCCCAGCAGCATCTTCAATAAATACATGATGAAATAAAGACCCAATAAATAAAGAAAGGAAGAAAAGCTAAAAGGGGCCCGGCAGGAAGATGCATGGAGCGGCTCCGAAAGCGCCACCGCGCATGCGCGTCCCGGAGGACGAGGAGGAGGAAGGCGGTAGGGGAAAAAAAAAAAAAGTACAGCGAGACGGTTAATCCCAAAACTTTCTCCCGGGATGAAAGAGTAGGTCATAAATAAATAATACACACAAAAAACAAAAAAAAAAAAATACAAAAGCGTCCCGTTTGGCGTTATAATCCCAGACAAAGGCGCCCGTCTCCTTTCTTCTTCGGTGACGAAGAGTCCCACATGTTGGCCTTCTTTCTCTCTTTTCGCTCCTCGCCTCCTTCTTCTTTCGTCTTCTTTTCTTCGCGGCTGTCCGGCGCGGGCCGCCCGCAGCCGGTTATATACATGCTATGCTAATAACATGCAAATGAGCCCTCCAACTCCCCACACCCCCCCCCCCATCACCAC